TGCTAGAAGATTTGCCTTGCAGGAGTTTGGGATAAATACCCGGATATACACAGGCGCGTGCACACACGCAAATACACACAACCTGTTTGCAAGATATCTTGTATTAACCCGCTAGTGGTTGTCAGTGGTCTTCAAGTTCAGAAACACCCTGTAGGATTAGAGAGGGGAAGCAACAATTTAACTCCTCTCCGGCAATGGAAGAAGCAACCAGGTGGAGCTGGCAAAGCTTTGGGTCTAGAGCCACAGAGTTCAAGTTCAGGTCCTGACTGTGCCTCTTACTTGGGACCTGAGCTTGAGCAAGTCAGCTTACCCCTCTGGAAAATGAGGACAATATGCCTCTCAGGGTTTTGTGGGAGTCAAGTGGAAAAAATGCACGTTAGAGTCCTTTGTAAATTGAAAGTAGGTTGTTTTTAGAGGCAGATGACCAAAAGCTGTGTTGCCACAGGTAAATTAAGCTCTGTTAGTCAATCACTCCTTCATCATTGTCCTTCTGTGGCGTGTGGATAAAGGTTATTTTCTCAAGCCTGGCAAAAACACTGATTAGAAGGACCTACCTTTACAGACTTTTTGATGTGCTTAAAGCTTGAGCTCGGAATGATCCTTTACTAAGTTTGTCTTCATAAACTCTCCATCACACCTCCTAGGTTTCTCTCAAAATATATTTGTTTGATATATTTTTCTTGAGAAATCTTTTATGACCAAGATTTTTATGAAATTATTTAAATTTAATGCCATTTGCAGCAACATGGATGGACCTAGAGATTATCATACTAAGTGAGGTCTGACAGAGAAAGACAAATATCATATATCAGTTATGTGTGGAATCTAAAAAATTACACAAATGAACTTATTTACAACACAGAGACAAACTCACAGGAAAAAAAAACAAAGGGGGAAGGATAAATTAGGAGTTTGGTATTAGCAGATACAAACTACTGTATATAAAATAGATAAACAACAAGGTCCTACTCTATAGCACAGGGAACTATACTGAACATCTTGTAATAACCTATAATGTAAAAGAATATGAAAGAGAATACATATATATGTATAACTGAATCATCATGCTGTACACCAGAAACTAATACAACATTATAAAGCAATTATACTTCAATAAAACAATTTTTTTGGAATTTTTTCCTTAAGGCAGCAGAAAGGTATTAATAGCTTTTGACCAAAGATTCAATGTGGTCAAAGACAGTTTAAGAAAAATGGAAAAGAATGCTTTGCAAAAGAATTCGCTACAAAGGAAGAATTAACATGATCGGGTCACTGGTGTCAGGATCAAGGAGAAGGCAGTCATCATCTTCAAATTCTATTTAACGGTCATTTTGTTTCATTAAATTAACATTTTTGTGTAACTTTCTTAAAAATGGGATTTTACTCTAGTTGAACATCGCAGTCCAACAAAATTAAGTTTCATATCAAAACTGTTTATGCATAAGTGCTTTTATGTTATAACAATTCTTTCTCATTAGCAACCAGGAGGCAAACGTACAATGGCTTTCTCTAACTGATTAGGAAATTTGTCTTCTGAAGCAACATGGCTTGCCTGGGATTACTGAAAAGATGAATGGAAAATCAGAAGCAGAGTATACAGTCTGATTTGGTCTGCTACATCATTGCTTTACTGTATGTGACATTACCCACTAGTCACTGTTATTAGATCAGGAAGGAGATGACTCAGAAACAGAAATGTTTCTTAGAGTAGAAATATTCGCAGTTCTGCTTCTAAGATTCCAATGTTGCATGAAAAGAATGGCTCAGACAGTACCAGTTTTGCTCAGAAACCCCATCAGTACAGCAAACACATGACCTCAGTGAGCAGCATCTAAATGTTATCCTTTAGTTCTAACCAGCTGGGTTGCAAATGGTTCTCTTTTCCCTGAGGCTCGTGCCAAGGGCCTCTGGGAAGGAATCCTTGGCAGATTCTGAGATGCTCTAATGTGAGCTCTGTCAAGAAAATGGTAACAGCCGTGAGAAGGCAAGGTGACCTGAAGGAATCATTTGAGGTGGAAGCAGAGCAGGTGGCCAAGGAGCTCGGTGCAGAGTATCCACTCAGGCAGCTTTGGGCTCCCCCAGGATCTCTGTGACTTTAGCCCAAGGTTCCCTCACTTCCACCAACAAAGGTCCACCCCAGAAGGACTGCAAAAAGGCTCTCTTCTTGCTTTCTCCAAATGCTCCTTGGAGTAAACTTTTTTATGACTTCTAAGTTCTCCCCGGAATTAATGGTGGGGATGCCGCATTCCCCATCCCTCAAGTCTCTGGGTATTTGCCAAATAATTGTTTTCCTGCTTCCTTCAGACCTGAGATGGACACTTCTTGTGCCGCCTTAAATTTAACTTGCCCTCTTAAGGCAGTCTTATTGCTGCACTTTTGAGATGAAACCCAGAGAGAGATGAAAATGAACCTAAGCAATGGAGGAGAGAGAAAAGGAAAACCTAAGATGTAAGATGGACTAGTTGAAAAGAACCCAGATGAAATGTAAAGATAGATCATTTCATTTGGGCCTTAGGTGAATGGATGGATGATTCTTGGAAGGTTACAAGAAAACAGACTACTTCACAAATAGCTGGGGAAATACTGTAAAGAAATAAACCGTGGTTTCCATATACTCAAAGAGCAGCCAAAAAGATGCAGATGATTGCTTCTTGCCGGTGGGTTTAGATATTATACTTTCAAACGATTTTGGCAATTACTCTGAAATTTTAATTAGCTCACTTTCTCCAGTTTAATTTTCTGTATAAATCGAACAGATATTTGACCTTTAGCCACACTTGGTCACTGCACCCTGTTCTTCCAAAGTGCCTGAGCATATGCGCTTGATTTCATTTTACCCCCTGGGGGACCAGTTAATTCACCAATTTTTCTAATCCAGTTGGGTGCTGATAAAGCAAATCTTATTTAAGGGACTTTCCAGGTCTTTGTAAAAACAAGACAAAACAAACAGATGAAAACAAATGCCCCCTACAAGAAGGGGCAGGGTAGGGGAGAGTTGATTAGCAGGAGGCAAAAGAATCCTGTGTGAGACTTTTCCCTTTGTCTTTTTAAACCATCTATTTCATGGAAAAATCCTACTGCACCTATCTTGAATAAGTTCAGTCATTCTATGACACTCACACAATAAGCTTCTAGATATATCCTTGTTTACAACTCCAGAAGAGTTGGGTTGGCAATCCAAAATTTCACAGTGATCCAAAATCTCAGGATGCCAAAGTCATGAGCAGATTGAATCCCAGGTCACAGAACTTGTCGCTTTCTATTTCATATAACTAAGAGCCAAGAAGGAATGCTTTCATTTTCTTTACATATAAGGGAGGAGATGCATTCGGGAGTGGGGCAGTGATCTGTGGAAGGGAGGAGAGCTGAATGCATTGAGTTACACCCAGTGATCCAACAACGACCTAATTTAAGGAGAGACTACATCGGCGTCTGCAGCCCCAGAATTGCCTTTTTAAAAACAATCCTCTAAGACTCAAAATAGTCAACGCAGCCTTGAGTACCAGGGTTTAAGAGAATGAAAGATAAAAAGAAAATAACTTTGGAGAGGAAGCAGCCTGTGGTGGGGAGAATGAAACCACAAAACTGTTTTAAGCACAGTGCTCCCCTTCTTAATGTAGACCGCAAATTGTTTTAGCCTGTGATCACACTCAGCCCCCAGGCTCCCAGGAGAAGGAGTTCCATGCTGGCCCAGCCTTGAGTGGCCAAGATCGTCTGGGAGGGGCGTTTAGGAAAAGAGCAGGAGTTCTGACTTCAGTTCTCTCTCCAGTCTGAATGCAATGCAACTCTGTTCCATTCAGACACACAAGGGTTAAAAAAAAATATGCGTTTTGGATACAGCTGGAAGCCATTAACAACTCTGAGACCATCTCAATAACCCAGTTAGAGGATGGGTGGCCTGGCAGAGATCCCGATTCCACGTGTGTAATCACAGACTCTTACCACCGGGCGGGGCTTTCTTTCTACCTCCTACCCGATGGCAAAATCCCCTCTTCCACTGTTCAGTGCTTGCTACTTCCAGCCCATTCCTTCAAGGGCAGCTTCAACTACTAGCAAGCTCTTGGCAAAATCTGCCTCCATAGAAAATCTCCCCTTTAGTTCTAGCTCTGTCCTATGCTGTCAGAGCACATGACAGCCCTACTTTTGAAGACAGCTATCACTTGCCTCCAAATTCTCACCTTCTCATTGATAAACACCCCATTTCTTCCAGGCAGCCCTCACATCTGGTGGTTTTCAGATCCCTCCCAAGCCTGCTTACTCTTTGAACTGTGCTTATGTTTCAGAGTCCCTTCTAAAGAATACACTCCCATCTTGTCCTCGGATCTAGGACCCATCCTCTAGGACCAAGACAGAAGATCACCTTCATGACCTATCTTCCCCATCCAAGAACCTTCCAACAAGTCTCACCTTCCGCACAGAACACAAGCACCCCAGCCTCCTTCACCCGGCCACCATCACTCCTGCCACCCCCCCACCTCCCCCACCCCCCGCCATTCCCATCTCCATGCTCCCAGCAGCTCCAGCACCGGGGCTCTGCTGCCACAGACCCACCCGCCTTGTCCCAGCCAGTCCCGACCCCAAGACCCATCCCTTCCAGAAGTACCTTTCCTTCCTCCTGTAAAGTTTTCTGAGAGCTTCCTCTTCCCCTGGGCTAGCTCCAGAGCATCTGAAAAACCAGGATTCAAGCTGTTATTTCTGGCCACTGGCGGTGGGTCTTTTCCCAGAGTTCTCTTCTTCAATTAATTAATTGCCTGAATCAGCACAGCAATGAGCCTCTGGTTCTCACTCTCAGCAGGTAAATGCAATGGACGGTGATTGCTCTTTTGGTCTGAGGAATGCCCTGAATTACCTCTTTGCTTTCATTATATGGAGGCAAATCCAGGGTCAGCCCAGGCTCTGGCTTTTAGAGATTAAGTAAATGAACAGTTATGACCTAACAGTCACCCCATATATAAGCTGATACCACAAGGTGTAATTTTGACCTCATTTTGCATTCCCAGCTGTGCCTCAGATCAACTGTGATGTGAAAGCTGGAAAGATAATCAACCCCGAGTTCATTGTGAAATGTCCAGCAGGATGCCAAGACCCCAGGTACCACGTTTATGGCACTGACGTCTACGCGTCCTACTCCAGCGTGTGTGGCGCTGCGGTTCACAGGTGGGTAGCTTGGAGCTACTTAAGAACTAGCAATCAGGGTGTGGGCAGGGAGCCCCCAGTGCAGGGCTGCCTGATTAGCGAGCAGAAACATACAAATTTAACTGAGCATCCTGAATTTTATTTGGCAACCCTGTCCCATGGGATGACCCAGAATCTGTGCATGGTCCTGGATCTCCCTTCAGATCTCTCTCAGACTCCTCTGTACACCTTAATGGGGAGGGGAGGAGAACCCAGTCTTTCATGTTCATGACAAGGAAACCGAAGTTCTTGATAATGTAAAACATTTTTTCCTTGCTTGTAAGTGCTGAGCAAGGAAATAATAGGGATATGACTAAGACAGCCCCAGAAGTTTAGAGAAGAAATATCACTGCTCTGGTTGATGGCCTGGAGACAAATGGGAACAGGAAAGGTGAGAAGGAGAGTGACAGATGGTCCTACCTGGTCAGCTGTTAGTTTAGGATCCAGGAAGGGGGACAGGAAACATGACATGCTTTGGACTATGCCATTGCCTAAATGGGGAGAAGCAAAAGTGACCTTCACAGAATCTTTATGCCTCTTTTGCTGAGGCTTGGAGTCAAAACACAGGGAAATGCATGCTTACTTAATATCCTCGGTAGTAAGGCTAATGTGTCAAGCACTTCACCTGCGTTATCTAACTCAGCCCTCACAGGTTCCCTGTGGGGTATCTACCACCATTACCCACCTGTTAAAGGTGAAGAGTGGTTGAATAGCCTTTCTGAAGTCATGTTACAAGAATCACAGGGGGGATTCGAACCCTATTCTGGCCTCTGCGCTTCTAACCACCATGCAGCACTGCTCTGAGACTTGCTCAAAGTCTATGCTTGGCTGCTGGATACTGGATGAAGTTTCTTAATTATTCAGGCCTCTGGTATCTTTTTCCTTTTCTTTACTTGCATTTTGGTCACTTGATTATCTTAAGAGAAAACAGATAGGAATTTTGGGTACTACCAGTTCTGTGTTTCACAAACAGAACAAGCCTGTTTTCAGAAGGCAGGATTTCAGACAGAGAACATGAGTAGAAAGTGTGTGAGGGACCTTCCATTACTGTCCTGCCAGAGTCCCCCACTGTCAGAACCGGGAAACTGGAGAGAGCACGATTTGGTTTAGAAGTTCAATACTGAGTTTAAAGGATTTAATTTTCATACAATGGATGATAACCAGATGCCTATTATGAGTGATCCACTTGATTCCTTCAAACCAAAGGGATAATGAACATATTTAAGGCATATTTTGGCCCCGTCTTGTCCTGAACTAATTTCTGTATTTAAAGTGGGACCAAGGCCTGGGGAGGAGGGACAGTTCTCCGAGATGGGATGACAGAGTCCATCCCATGCAGAGCACTGTTCATGCTGATTTCTGACCAGACCCACCTTGAGAATGGCAGTCCCAGAGAAGGGAGGGCGGGGTTGTGAAGACGTGCGAGAGAGCTGAGGACTCGGTGTTGGGAGTTGCCTGTGGCTTTTGAACCCTGAGAGGCAACTGTGACCCAGTGGGACAAACCCAGGATTCCAGGTCACCTGGAAGCTGGTTTCAAGTCCCTGCCTTGCAATTTAGAAGTTACAGAATCTGGACTGAGTCCCCCAGCCTGCCTAGGCCTGTTTCTGTGAAGTGGGAGTAAGAGTGTTCCCTCCACCCTACAGCCAGGAGGTCCGCTGGGGGAGCCCAGTGAGATGCTGTTAGTGGGAATGATTGTAAAGTGATGAAGTGCTTTTCTTGTCGAGTCTAATTATCATTTCTCTCCTTCTGAGTTGTTGGGAAGTTGAGGGTTGAAGATTGTTGGCTCACCATGAAGCTGGGAGAGCAGGAAATGGCAACACTCATTCCTGCAGGGCAGGAAGGGTATTGATGGGAACGATCTAAGGACTTTTTCAGCTCAGCTGTGCTGTCAATTCCAGACACCCAAAGGAGCCGTGTTAGGCTCTGGGGGCAAGGAGACGGAATATTGGAGCCTTCACATAGAAGTGAAGAGGTAGACGTGTCAGTTACTGTCACATCTGGATCTAAGACCGTCAACATCCTAGAAATTAAAGAAAGAATTTCCACCCTTTGAGGACTCTTTTTAATGAGTTTAGTTTAGCTGCCCACCTTCCTTCCCTGGCCCAAAATAAAAGGAATAATTTGCTTTTTTAAATGTCACACCACCCTTTGAAATAACTGGAAATATTCTGTGATGTCAAAAATCCAAATTGAAACTGGTCAAGAAAGAGGTTTTACTTCAAAGAACTAGTGGCAATGAAGAAACCAAGGAAAGGAAATCTGAGGCATGATCAGGTCCTGTGAAATGAAAGAGGAGGACATCGACCTGGGAGGTCTGATGCCAGGCCACCTGATGGAGGCGCCGTTCTTGGGGGCTGGGCTGCAGATCAAGGCAAACGTTTTCTTACACTCCCCACTTTCCTATCTCTCAAAGATGGTGGCCGGTTTCATAGCCAGTTGATCTGTCAAACAGTAGTTTTCTGTTTTTTCTTCAAAAAACTTTTTCTCTTCACAGTGGTGTGCTCGATAACTCAGGAGGGAAAATACTTGTTCAGAAAGTTGCTGGACAGTCTAGCTATAAAGGGAGTTACTCCAATGGTGTCCGGTCATTATCCCTTCCACGATGGAGAGAGTCCTTTGTCGTCTCAGGTATGCTCACACCCTGGAGAGCCGCTGCCCTGCAACCGGCACTTGGGTTAAGGGACATCACGGGATGAAATGTGCTCTTTTCCATGTGCTGTTAGTTTTAGTTTATAGCCTGCCTCATTTCATAAAAGCCTGAAGCATTCATTCTTCTGATAATTAGGATCATGAAACAATGAATTATAATTACAGTGATAAATCACTACAAAGTCTGGAAATATTAAAAAGCTCCAATCACTCATTTTAAATGCACGGCAGCTATCGGTAAGTCCAATCAAACTTTTAATTAAGTGAATTACATTTAATTACTTGGGTTTTTGAACTACTCCTTTAGTTATGCCAAATGTGCCTCGTATCTGGAAGCTTATCCCTTGAGCATTCTGGTAAATGAATAGATGGGGACAGGCTGTTAGAGAACTGAGCTACAATTTTATTTGAGATTCCTTTTTTTAAATTAATTGTTTCACTGTTCAGTCAGTTCTCATTACCTGGCTCCATAGGATTTTATAGATAATCATTTTCACTCTTTTTTTTTTTTTTTGCCCTCTTCCAAAGAGGTAATGTCAATAAGCTAAGGGACAAGTGTGATTTCACAGTAAAAAGGTAACCAAGTATCTGCACCATCATGACCTGTCTGCTTCCCTCTTTTTATTTCTGTGAATTTCCTGAACCTAACCTTTTATTTTGGAAACTTCTAAATTTACAGAAAAATTAAAAGAACAGTACAATGAATAGCCATATTCCCTTTACCCAGATTCACCAACTGTTAATATTTTGTAACATTTGCTTTATCTATCTATCTACCTATCTATCCATCTATCTATATTTTGTTTGAATGTGTGAAAATAAGCTGCGGGCATGATGACACTTTATCCCTCAATACTTCAGCTTACATCTGGTGAGAACAAAAACACTTTCCTAAATAACCAGAATACCAATACCACACCTAGAAAAATTAACATTGATACAACAATATTAAGAAATAAGAAATACTTCATATTCAACTGTATCCAACTATCCCCAAAATATTCCTCAGAGTAATCTCTTCTTTTTCTTCTTCTTCTTCTTTTTTTGGATCTACAGTCCAATCAAAGATCATCCATTGCATTTAGTTTCATGTCTATTTAGCCTCCTTTAATCCAGAGCTGTCTACCACCACACCTCCATTTCCGGCCCTGAGTAGTGATGACATTTTTGAAGTCCCAGCCAGTCGTCTAGGACTATGTCCCACAATCTGGACCACAAACAAGCCCAGCTATTTCCTTGTGATTGGATGCAGGTTAAATATTTTGGCCAGGATATTATATACATAGTATCATAGCATATCCATTACGTCGTATCACAAATGGCCATATCAGGAGACATAATGTCATTTTGTCTATTTGTTGCTGATGCTAAATTTCCTTACTTAGATAGTTTACAATATCTCTCCATGGTAAAGATCCTTTGTAATTAGTAGCAATCTGTAGAGTGACATTTCAAAATAGCGTGAATAGCTTCTTGCCCCCCAAATTTCACCCAATGGTCTTAACATCCATTGATGATCCTTGTGATAGCAAGAATTATGTCAGACATTGAAAAATTATAATTGTTCTAAGTCTATCATTTCTTTCACCTTTACTAGCTAGTGTTCTTATATAAAGAAGAGGGCTTCCCCCCTCACCTCCAGCAATTTTCTCAAGTACCACTATGAACTCAAGGATTGTTTTTCAAAATACAATATGTCATAGTCTATTATCATCATTATTCTCTTTGGGGCTCACATTTTCCAAGTTTGGCCAGAGGAAGCCCTTCAAGCTTTTGGCATCCCCGTTAGTGTTTCAGCACAATGCAAAGTTCCATCCTCACCTTGTCCTCCCCCTACTCTGGACCTTGAATCTCCTATTTTCTCCAAAGAGGCTCCACAGTATCTTAAACTACATTCTAGCAAACTTTTCAGGCAACCCCCCAAGATAAAGAACCACGTGACTCTCCTAAGAAGGAACCAACCACCTATGGAAGACCAACTAAAGCAAGGAAGAGAGAAATGTCTCATTATAGAGCAGGCCATCCAGTCTGGATGGTTTTTCGGCACCCCATGCCCCCACCTCTACTCTCCGTTAATCAGAGTTTTAATAGGACTACAATCAGACCTTTTAGGATCCTTCTCAGCTTAAACAATCCCTGTTTCCTCTACCTGTGGAATTCTGCATACCTAGGGTTCAAAGTACACTGGTTTCTGTGTCAGACAGCGGGAGGTTATCAACCACAGTACAGCGATCCTTGCCTTGTAACAAAAAATTCAGAATAGGGGCTATATGAAAATGCTAATGTCTAGAATACAATTTTGCCAGTCATAGAAATATAATGCGTACGTAGGTGTTGACCAAGTAGTTCCTGGCTAAATAACAGGGTTTCAATCTTCGGTACTTAGCCTGAAATCCAAGAATCCCAAGAGAGATTTAAAAGAAAAATTAATTTCAGGAGAACAGAGATGTTTTGGATTTTTTTAAATGAAAATCAGTCTGCTGGGATTATTCCCTATAAATCTCAACTTCCATGTCCCCTCATTACACCTAGTGACATTTAAGCAGAAACACTTTTTGCCAATGATTAGAAAACTGTGTGCTTCTGCACTGGCGAGGATTCCCTTTGGAGAGCGCCCTGCAGCGTAAGGGTCTCAGCTGACCAGGGGCCAAGGCTTGCTCTGTTGTCCAGAGGCTCACAGTCCAACAGGTTTCACTGGATCAGGACACAGTCCTCCTCTGAGGCTCAGATGCCTCCATGACCTCTCTCTAGGCTTTTTATTTCTAACTTTCACGTGTGGCTCTGCATCTTGGATCAATTCACTTTGGCGGCTGGGAGGGGGCAGGAGAGGGGCCCTGTGTTTTGGGTCAGCACAGTCTCTCCACAGGGCAAGGAAAGGAAAGGTAGAGAGGACCTCCTGATACTGCCCATTTACTCTCTGAGCCACATTTCAGAAAACTGAGCTCAGAATAAAATAGAAACAGGGAGAACCACAGGATTTTCGATGTAAGAATAGAAGGAGCCTCTACAGTATGTCCCTGCAGCGCTGTCTGTGGATAAAGTGAGACCCGCAGCCAGGGCGCCCTCCTTGGGTCTGAAACAGCCTCAGTCCCTGTCCATCTGGAGCAGGCCCGGACCAGGGCAGGGGACCTGGAGGCTTCCTGCCCCAGGTGATTTCCATGAGATGCAGTAACTCAGGTTAGCCCAGACAGTTCCCTCCCCGCCACCCTGAGTGACATTTACAGAATAAACACCAGAATAACCTCTTTGCGTCTCTGGTGACATCTGGTTCCAAAACGTCTCAACATTTTTTCCCGTTTAGATCCCCACAACTTTGTATAGTAAGTTGGTCCGTATCATTAATCCTATTTTCTGAATTAAAAAAAAGTCTCAAAGACTGAGGCAGTTAATTAATGGTGAAATAGAAACAGAAACCTGAATGTTCTTGCTCCCAATGCCAGGCCTTTCCCGAGACCCCGTTACTCTGTGTGCCTCATGAATGCAGTCCCTGTGCCAGCAGGACCTTTGATGATATCGAGCACTAGATTCTGTCCTACCCCTGCCCCCTCCCCACTTGACACTCCTCACCATCTCCTGTCCAAGCCCAGCCTATAAAAATGTCCCCTCAGGATATATATGCATGACTGGTACATTATGCTGTACGCCAGAAATTGACACATTGTAACTGACTGTACCTCAGTTAAACAAAATATATATCCCCCAGGTTGAGAGCCAACATGCTTTCATTATCAGGTCTCAATGTCAGGTAACAAATATGACCCCTCCCAAGGGCATCTAGATTTTAACAGAGCTCCAAGCACTAAGGTAACTCCTCAGTTATACTTATCCGGCATCTACTTCATGGCAGACACTGCTCTGGGCCCTGGGGATTCAACAGCCACCCAGTGAGACAAAGTACCTGCCTCAGGGGGCTTCTGCATTTCGGTGACACTTTCTGCATTCCTATGACAGTTTCCATTTTGTGCTGGTGGGATTTCAGGCAGCACCTCCTGGCAGAGGAGGACCACAGGCAGCAGCCTTCTCAGGCAGTGGTCAGACCAGGCTTGGGACTTGCCTACCCACCCGGGACCGTTTTTCTTCTTTATGCCTCCATTGTTTCCCTGGTAACATGTGAGCATTCCTTCTCCTCGCCTGGCATCTAAACTTTCTCTTCCTGGGTGGGCAACCAATGGTTATTTTCAAGGCCAATTTCTATTTACCTACTTTCGAGTTTCTCTAGTGCCATGGACTTCAAATGGATCCCACAGGGTCCATGAAAGTGAGAGGTCATCCCTCACTCATAGCCAGCTGGTGAGCAGAGCTCTCAGCATCCGGAGGAGAGTGTGCGAGCATTTTTCCATCCATCTACGGACCTGATTCAACATTCAGAAAGTCACATGTCTGAAAAATTCTCTCCCATGTCACATCTTCAGGGGCAAAATAAGGGTTGCTAATGTTAACTCTGAGGCATGGACATTTTATTACTTCCTTTCTAATATTAATAAAACAGGCAACACAGGAAAACAAAATGCCACTTGACTTCCTCGTTGTAATTAACAATTCCGCGAGGGGTTGGGGGCACGTGGAGACTGACTGATTTCAATGAACTCAAGAGAAATAAATTGGAAGGAAGGAATCCACTTATCAAAATGCACCATCTAAAACCTCTAGTTCTAGAAATAAATCATTTTCTTTTTTCTTTTTTCTTTTTTTTTGCAGAAGGTAAACCACAAAAAGGTGTAACCTACCCATCGAC